GTGTCACATGATCTGTCATTACATATATACACCTTTTTTGAAAGGCCCCAAAGGCTGCAACAAGCAAGAGGCACCACTAATCAAACACTGCCATGAAGACCAAGGGACTCTCCAAACAAGTAAAGGACAATGTTGTTGAGAAGTACAAGTCAGGGCTAGGTTATAAAAAAATATCCAAATCTTTGATGATCCCCAGGAGCAACATCAAATCTATCATAACCAAATGGAAAGAACATGGCACAACAGCAAACCTGCCAAGAGACGGCAGCCCACCTAAACTCATGGACCGGTCAAGGAGGGCATTAATCAGAGAGGCAGAGTTCCACAGCAGAGACTGGAGTATCTGTACATAGGACGACAATAAGCCTTATGCTCCAAAGAGTTGGGCTTTATGGCAGAGGGGCCAGAAGAAAGCCATTACTTTCTGCAAAAAAACAAAATGGCATGTTTTGATTTTGCGAAAAGGCATGTGGGAGAATCCCAAAATGTATGGAGGAAGGTGCTCTAGTCTGATGAGACTAACATTTAACTTTTCGGCCATCAAAGAAAACGCTATGTCTGACGCAAACCCAACACATCACATCACCAAAAGAACACCATCTCCACGGTGAAACATGGTGGTGGCAGCATCATGCTGTGCGGATGTTTGTCAGCAGCTGGGACTGGGAAACTGATCAGAGTAGACTGATGGATGGTGCTAAATACAAGGATATTCTTGAGCAAAACCTGTAGCACTCTGTGCGTGACTTGAGGCTAAGACGGAGGTTCACCTTCCAGCAGGACAATGACCCCAAACACACTGCTAAGGCAACACTTGAGTGGTTTAAGGGGAAACATGTAAATGTGTTGGAATGGCCTAGTCAAAGCCCAGACCTCAATCCAATAGAAAATCTGTGGTCAGACTTAAAGATTGCTGTTCACAAGCGCAAACCATCCAACTTGAAGGAGCTGGAGCAGTTTTGCAAGAAACAATGTGCAAAAATTTCCAGTGGTAAGATGTGGCAAGCTCATAGAGACTTATCCAAAGTGACTTGGAGCTGTGATTGCTGCAAAAGGTGACTATAAAGTATTGATTTTAGGATGGGTGAATAGTTATGCACATTGACTTTTTTTGTTATTTTGTCCTATTTGTTGTTTGCTTAACAATAATAAAATAAAATAAAAAAATTCTTTAAAGTTGTGGGCATTGTCAGAGTATTTATATCGGCAGACATTTTGTGCTATGATAGAAACTAAAAGTGTATATTCTGAGTCACTCTGAACAGACCAGACTCCATTTTGTTATTTCAAATTAACAAAGAAGACACTAGATTTCTTTCTGTAAGACTGGCCTCTTTGCCAGAGCTAAGGAATGCATAGCATAGTATAAACAAGTGATAAGAAGAATATAATCAAATCTAAACCCAGACAATTGTGACAGAGAAGATTAAATAATAAAATTTAACTGTCTATATATATATAAGGTACCATTGTATGGAAAAGGGTAAACTTAGTTCATGATCTGTCATATCAGAAATTATAGCAGATTTGCAGACACATAGTCTGGACAAAATTTAAGAACCCCTTTGATCTTTGAAGGATACGTAAGTTATAGTGGTCATTTAGATAGGCCAAAATGACGTCAAAATAGCCACCAGGAAAAGTTAACTCTTTCCTGGATAGGTATGTTTAGTGGGACAAGACTGCCCTCTATAGACCAAATAACTAATTTGCGATCTGGAAGATAACCACACCTCTAGTGCTTCTATTGGGTTATCAACTGATGACGTACAGAGAGTCTGGCCCTTTAAAAGTTAAGACAAAGGGAAGATAGGTATAGGAGGCAGATGCAAGATATGCAAAGGAGAGGAGAGAGGAATTGGAAGTTTGGGGACTCCAACTCGGACAACATCTGAGACTAACACTCTACTCCTAAAACTCGAACACTTAGAATTTACTGACTTTCACCAACACCTCCATGCAGAGAGACATCCAAATAAGTTCCTGAGACTACCAATCGGATGAAATATCTACTCAACTGGTAATTATACTGGTTTCATTTATTTAAATTAAATTAATTAAAATATATTAATAGCATTATATATGACTGGATAAAGCACGGTCAGATTTCCATATTAAGAAATCTTAGTTAACTAAGAATATATAGTTATAAATATTCCATTCTGCAGGTGGAATTAAGAATAATTATATATTGATGTGATATTATCACGTGTTAGCATACCGCTGTTTTTATCCAGGTGTATTGATTTGCTCTAATTTAAGATAGATATCTTTTAGACAAATTAAAAATCTGCTTATATAATATATTAGATTCTCTTATTGGATGGTTTTCAGGAAATGACTAATGAACTGGTTTAAATGTTATTTTATTTAAAATTACATAAGAATAGATCTTAACTACCTAGGAGATCTAGCCATCATTGAAAGGGTTATTCTAACTGTCTGCTAAACTTTACGACCTTACGCTGCACTCTGAGGAATTCTGTTCTTCGCTGTGAAAAGTTTCACTTAAGTCTGTGTTAAGGATACCTCATAAATCGTCAGAATTCTTGACAGAAAATGCTAGTTAGCCATTGAAACGTAATACCCATTTCTTTGTATTGCATATCATTTTATACTGAATATTCATTGATTATTGTCATGCATGTTGCATAATATTATTATTAATTAATTTGTCATATAAATAAAAATCTATTTTTATACATTGTGATATTAATTATATGAAATACATTCCACTTAACACGATAAACGTTCTTTGGGATCTGAGAATTGAATTAGTGGGCAATTCTCAACTGTTTACTATTATTATCCCATAAATATCCCCACAGCATGTTCTGTAAATTAAATGATGCAAATCCTCAAACAATCCACGTTAATTCCAGGTTGTGAGGCAACAAAACACGAAAATTGCAAAGGGGGGTCAATACTTTTGCAAGGCACTGGATAGATAGATATATAGATAGATAGATAGATAGATAGATAGTAAAGAAATGGAGCACTCCACAGGGATGTTTAAATGTGTATTGAAGAATAAATCATCATTTCGACCCTCCTGGGTCTTTATCAAGATTAATAACAAACAGTAAAATACATCAATAAATATCAAATAATAAATAAGTGACTTACCATAGGTGTGTGATAGTGCCCATCCGTGCTTCCGGAAACAAAGTGCGCATTCGCATTCACGTATCAACGTGATGCGTGTAGTGACATCATGCATAGTGACCGCGTGCATAAGTGGATGCCCTAACCGCTAGTATACATGGTGACCATGGGAACCAAATCCTCCAAATCATTAACCATAACTACTGACAAAAATACTGGAAACAATATTGAAAAAATATTTTAAAAATACAAAAAAATACTGAAAAAGATTGTTGCATCCTGCCGCATGCCCCTACATGTCCCAGGTCCCCTTGTGTCACCTAAACAGCTAGAAGCCACTGGCTGCTCGCTGTCATTTAAAACTAAATATAAATCAGTATGGGGGTCACTATGACCCCATATTGATAAAAGGGAGGTTAAATCCTCCCACATGCCACTGCTTGCGACCTTGCCTTGCTGTCATTTAAAACTACTAGTGACTGGGGGGGGGGGTGCGGAGCTAATCAGCGCTCTGAGGCAGACCTACGACCAGGCTCCAGGTTCCAGTAGGTGAACCTCTTCCTTCTGTAGAGCGAAGCAGGAACAGGAACAAGAGCTCTTACAAGAGCTCAGTAGTTAAGGGAGTATGAAGAGCATAGCAATCCCTGTAGTGATTATAGCTGTCCCCTACAAACATGAGTCAAGGCTGCAAGTTAGAGGGTCAAGTCATTCTGTTTATTGGCACACAAAGAACCTTCTTTTATGCAGGTTTCCCTGAGATAGGACCACCCACAGGGTTTTACACAACAACCAATAATAAACGTACATTACAGAAACACTCCCAGCAATTACACACAAAAATCCTCCCCTCTGCCTGTGATCTAATTATGTTGCACAATGGGTTAACATAATTAAACACAGGCAGTAAAAATACAGTTTTTATCCATACACTGTAACTTTAAAACTACACATCCAATCTTCATAACAATTACATATTATGAATCAATCCATTCAGGGGAGCAACATATTAAAAAATGGCACAAATCAGACAAGGGGTTCAAAAGTAAGCAAAAGTATCTTTTGGGGCCTGGCTGGCAGCATGGTTATCTGGCCCAAACCGGTTTTACAGAGCCCTCTATCCAGGAGACAATGGGGAAAATAATCCACTTATATCCAGGGATAGAGGCAGACTCCATTAACCACATGTTAGCAAAAGACACAAAAATACATAACTCCTATCATACTGAACAGAACCCCCACATTCAACCTATCCCCAGATGGCTTGGATCTGAGTGCTCAATATATCCAAACAGCGCTCAGATCCCACAAATACAGTCAAATCGCCATACACACTAGGTCCATAGTCAGGGGGCAGAAGGCTGGCAATTAGGCTTCTCCATAACACAGGGAAGCAGGGCAATTTGTCAAATAAAATAACAGTTACAAATGGCAGTCTGTAACAGAAGGGACATAGGCTAAGAGTATATCCGGATAGGAGAACAAGAAGCTAGCAGTCAATGAGTTGAACATCAGTATAGTGTTCCTTGCTAAAGGTTGTGGGGGGTGGGGGGGGAGAAGGGTGAGGTGGTAGAGTGTTGGGAAGTAAACCTCAAATGCCAGCATAAGGAAGAGGTGTGGGATATGACACAGTGGACACCCATCTAATGATTGTTATACCAACAGTAATATGTAGTAAATGACATTCAAAGCAAATAAACATAAACAATAATAAATGAGAGGAAGCATTGCTTATTGTAGGTATAGGCATATCTCGAGTGTGCACAAGACACAGCAGTGGATGCTGGATTTCCCCCGATTGGTTGCCGGCACAAACGGGGGAACCCTGGCAGTATCCCAAGCTTGCTGTTGTGGAGGGGGTGCTGGCATCTGTTGTTCACCAGTGCTGGTAGACAGCCCTAGTGTCTGCAGGGTCCAGCCACTTCTGAGGCCTCTGTGATTTTTAAAGTTCTAGATTCACAGGGAATTAGGAGGCTGTGGTCCTCAATAGCTGTCATGCGGTGCTGAATAGTGGCCTGTTCACGCTTAAGCAGCTCTTGTTCAACACTAGTGAGGCAGACCTCGTGATCAGCGGTGTTGAGTTCAACGTCATGGAAGCGCACCGACATTCCATTTATGTCCTCCTTAGCCTGAGTTATGTCAGCAGCTATGATCTGTGTTGAAGGTCTGCAAGACTTCATTGGAGGTAAATCAGCTCCCCGCTTCTCAACAGGTGTCACCTGCTCCCATATATCAACAAGGGATGTTTCACTGGAAGATCTAGAGGGCCAGTCATACAGAGGCCACAAAAGATCTTCTATATTGGCGGTTGTCAGGGGCTTATCTGTCCTATATTTCTTGATCTTGTGCCCCATTATGTGTGATAAGTAATGACCACACTTTGGGGGAAGTAGTGTTGGAAAATCAGGAGGTTGCAATAGATATTTCTCCGGCTGATTTCCGCTTCTTCATATAAGTTCTGCCCCTCTCTCCTTTAAAGGACTACAGCTCGAGCGCACATGCTTAGAGAGTCCAGGTACCACTGTGAATTCCACATTTGAGGAGGTCATCTCAACTGGTTTGAGGACATCTGGGAGGTCACAATGCTACTTCCAACATTGGGGAAGATGGTTGCTGCTAACCTTTTTATAATGAGTGGGCCGAGTCAGATCATCAGCCAGAGATGCCCACCGTTGTGTTGTCCCTGTGAGGAGTCTGAGGCAAGTCAGAGGGAGAGTGGGGACCAGACACAGAATTGAAAACAAACTGCAGGATACAGTACCCCATTGCAAGATACCACGTAAAAGAATTACATTTCACTTTTATTTAAATTAAACTAAACTTAAGCAAAGCAGAACATCATGTCAACATGTTGATTTGAATCCTAGCCAAGACTATTGAGGTTTCAACTAGATGACTAACATTTTCCAGCACCTTTTTATTTAAACCTGTGTTTAGTTATTTCTCCACAGCTGGTTTTCTATAATGTCGATGTCTTTTCATTCAATAGTTTCCAATTTTGCTTTGTGTGCCCTAGACTAAGGCCTCATGAATTTCTACTCAAGGTCAGAAAAAAGTAGGAGCGGGGGAGTGAACGAAAAGAAAAGAACATGCTTAGCTACTTTGTAGACTCAAGCTGTAATTAGTCATACAAATTACCTCTCTTGACAAAGTCCTTCAATTTTCTGACAGGAATAACTCAATGTGCAGAAATTATTCTAAACCACTTGAACTGGTCGCTGGGAGACAGATGGCATATGTCTCAAACTTTGTTAGACTGATGAGTTTCTTAACAGTTTCTTTGCTGGAAAAATTGTGATCATTCAACAATTTCCTTTTTGTTAGAGTAAACATAACACAACATTGATAATTTATTTCTAATTACATAAAGACAAAAGAGGGAGTGATCTTCTAATCAAATATACATTGATCAGTCATAACATTAAAACCACTGACTAGTGAAAAATATTCATTATATTGTTACAATAGTACCTGTCAAGGAGTAGGATATATTAGATAGCAAATGAACAGTCAGTTCTTAAATTTCATATGTTGAAAGCAGGAAAAATGGGCAAGCAAAAAGAGTGACTTGGACAAGGGCAAAATAGTGATGGCTAGATAACTGGGTCAGAATCTCTCCAAAATGGCAAGTCTTGTGGGGTGCAGTGGTAAGTACCTATTAAGTAGCCATGACATAAAGGTGTAGAACACCAGTGTATACCTGTTTTCTGCATATGGGGCTGCATACCCGTACTCTGGTCAGAGTGCCCATGATGACCCTTTCCACTGCCAAAAGTACCTTCAATGGATACGTGAGTGTCAGAACTGGACTATGGAGCAATGAAAAAAGGCTGTCTAATCTCATGAATCACATATTCTTTTAAATCAGGTTGATGGCTGGGTGGATCATTTAACTGGAGAAGAGATGAACTATGGGAAGTATGCTGGTGGAGGCAGTGTTATGCTCGGGGCAATTTTCTGTTAGGAAACTCTGGGTCCTGGCTTTCATGTGGATGTTACTTTACAATGTACCACATACCTAGAGATCCCTGATGGCAGTGACCTCTTTCAGTAGGATAATCTGCCCAACAACACTAATAAAAAAGTTCAGAAATGGTTTGAGGAACAAGACAAATAGTTCAAAGTGTTGCCTCCAAATTGCTCAGATCTTAATCTCATTGAGCTTATGTGGGATGTGCTGGAACAACACATTAGCTAGAGAAAATAGTGGACTGCAGATAGTCCTCTCCAAACTCTCCTCTTGTAATTCCTCAAGCTCACAATCAATTTATCCTACATTAGAGTTAAACAAAGTATGTCTGCAGTGGTAGGGAGAATTGCAATATCATCACCACCACCACCACCAAGACCAGACTTTGGAGACACTATTTCAGTACTTTGTTCTACCTCTTCAGTACAAATGATGGCACTGGCAGACTAGACTCAGCCTATCTTTCCCTTAGTTGTTTGTTTGGGGTCTACATGGATTAGGGAGTATCATTGAGAATGGCAACACGTTCATTGGTTTTACTGATCTCTTGCTTTGACCATAAAGCATAGAAGATATAACGTTTTAACTAGCCGTGGTAAAGGTAGTGCAGTGGAGCATAAGTGGCAGCAGAAGGTAATGTGAAGCTCTTGGCAAGGGAAGCAGAAGATAGCCTCTTTGTACATGATTGGTGATGCTTTATCTCTTCCAAGCGGTATTATTTTGCTTTCATTTCCTGCTGTTTTTTTTGGAAGGAGGACTAGTATGAGTTTTAGTGGCATGGATACTTGGACTAGCCTTGCTGCTGGTGGTAAAGATACTTTTTATGTTTGTTTGGGGAAGCCATGCATGCTTTACAAACACACTATTACTGGTGGGCCTAGCTGACTCTGTTGCTACGACTACAGTTTCTTCTACTACTTTCTGACTAGACTTCAGCATTCATTTTTTTTTTTGTATCTGTTTATCTATGTATCTGCATGTGTGGCAGTGTGTCTGTGCAACTGTGTGTGTGTTAGTATATGTATCAAAAACGGACACACATGTAGATACTGACACACATACAGATGTACAGACACAATGACACGCCTCCAGATACACAAATATACAGACACATACAGACACTGACACATACAGATACATACACAGAAACACATTACACACAGTATACACAAACTACACACATACAGAAACACACACACTACACATACACAGATACACACTACACACACAAACAATACACACACTACACATACACAGAGACACACAAACACACACTACAAACATTACACACATGCTGTGACGAAGTGCCCTTCGCCACTTGGTCCTGGAGAGGCTTGCTTAACAGCCTCCTCCCCCTGTGACAATGACTCTTTGATGTATTTGGTTTTAAAGCCCCTATTTTACCTTCAGACAGACTATTTATGTGGGTTGCTTTATTTCTCTTATGTTTTAGTCACCCTGTACCCATTATAGGTGCAGGTGTAAATGTAAATAAGTTTAGAAGGTAAAATGTGTGGTCAATAGTTTGCTCTCCTGTACTGCTGAGGTTTGCTACCAACTAGGTGGATTTGGCTATGGAGCTTGTCTAGTGCCCTCTGTTGGTAGCAACAGCAATATGCACTACCTGAATAGCAAGACTGGTTCATTTGCATATTCGGGTAGATTTTCATATTGCTAATTCTGCAGGTACGTGAGATTTTCTGTTAAATATTGTCTCCCCCACACCTTTAAAAATGTGCCATTGTGTTGTGATAAGTTACTGTGTGTTGCCTACTATGGTTTGACTGTTTGTTATTTTATTGAGTTTTCTCAGCAATGTTAATGTGGTGACCCTATGGGCTGGTCCCAAGGGAAATAAAGGTTTAGACAGTTCTTCTTGATCCCTCTAAACGTAGCCTTGTCTCGTTATTGGCGGGAGCTGTTATAATCACACTGGGGATTGCTATGCTCTGCATGCTCCCCTGAGCTTGAATCACTTAGCTCTTTTAAGGGCTTGTTCCTGACACGCTCTCCTTGGAGAAGAGGTCTTCCCCACACAGTCCTGGATGCTGGAGATTCATACAGGGTGGAAGGAAGAGGTCTTTCCCACATGGTCCTGGAGGACAGAAGCTGATCCAGGGTGGAAGGAAGACGGCGAGACTCCCGTCAAGCTACAGCGGGTGCGGAGTCTGCAGTGGTTGTGGTGTCCGGTGCGGTGCTTGTGGTCTTCGGCGCAAGCCAGGAAGCGTCCATCAATGGAGGGTACTCGGTCGGAGTACGGGAAGCTCCATTACACATACAAACACACAGATACCCACACTGCATACAGATACGCACACTACACACATACAGATACACACACACTACACACAGATACACACACTACATACAGATACACACACTACACACATACAGATACACACACACTACACACAGATACACACACTACACATACACAGATACACACACATTACACTTATACAAACAGATACACACACTACACATACACAGATAAACACACTAAACACATACAAACACACAAATACCTACACTACACACAGATACACACACTATACATACACAGATACAAACACACACAAATACACAGATACCCAAACTACATAAAGATACACACTCATTACACATATGTAAACAGATATACACACAAACACACACATTAAAAAAAATTAAGCCACCCAGCAGGTTCTTATCTTCTGCTGGTTGTGGCTGATGAGAGTTGGGGGCCTGCTCTCATATCCTCATGGCATTCTCCCCCCGTGTGTCTGTGTGAGTGAGCTGGGAGAATAGAAGGGGCTCGGTCACGCTGTTAAAGCGCCACAGCGCACGACCGGGCTCCTCTTTGCATATGTCCATTGGGTGGCCCTAAGAGCATGGGCCACCCGATGGACACTCACACAGGTTCCCAACCCGTGCAGTGCTGCTACAACGCCACCAAGGGTTGGGAAATCCTGTTTTAGAATATGACTGTGGCGTAAAACTTCAAAGTTAGAAAAAAACTGAATGGCTGCGTCTCAAATGCGCCCCTTCAACATCCACATATACCTGGCAAAGGTACATATGGGGGTATTGCTGTACTCAGCCGACATAGCTGAGCAACATATGAAGTATTATACAGTCGTAGCACACATAAGGTTTGCAAAATATACTGTGCAAACTCACTTTGTATGTCAAAAAGGCAGAAAAAATGCTTATTACCACTACATTTGGTACAAGCTAGCGGAAAAATGATCCCACGCTAAGGTTCAAAATATGCCTTTTGAAATACCCTGGGATGTCTTCTTTAAGAAATGGTATGGCTTTATGGGGTATTTGGATTATGTAGCCTGGTAAAATACTCTTAAATGGGACATAGGCACAGCGTAAAAATACAAAGTTTGAAAAAAACTGGAATGGCTGTGTCCCAAATGTGCCCTTCCGATGTCCACATATACCTGCAAAGGTACATAAGAGGGTATTGCTGTACTCAGCCGACATAGCTGAGCAACATATGAAGTATTATACAGTCGTAGCACACATAAGGTTTGCAAAATATTCTGTGCAAACTCACTTTGTATGTTAAAAAGGCAGAAAAAACGCTTATTACCACTACATCTGGTACAAGCTAGCGGAAAAATTATCCCACGCTAAGGTTCAAAATATACCTTTT